GGCGCCGCTCACCGGCTCCGCCGTTCGCCCCGCTCGGGGCTTTGGCAAAGCTTCCTGTGCGCCTTGAATGGTTGTTAGTTTAAATGAAATTTGAATTTTAAAAAAGAGAAATACATTTCACGTAAATCATTTTTTAAAAAGGATTTCTTTTTTCTTTCCTCTCTCTGGAGAGGGATTAGATAATGTATCAATATCTGAATTTCACCTCTGATTTAAAAAAAACCCAAAGTTTGTAGGTGGTAAAACTATGAAGTAGACAGAACTATGAAGTGTCTACATTTGTCAGAAATATTTCACTTTCCTTTAAATATACAGCTTTTTGGGGCCAACTGAAAATACACGAATATAATGCTCTGGGAGGAAGCAATGAAGTAAAAGGGGAACTGAAAAAACCTGTAATGCTGCCTAGGCCTGCTGAGCAGGGAGCCTTTGGATTGTTCTGTGTTTAAGGAATTAACTCCAGTAATTATAATTCCCTACAAAGATAATAGATGTTCTTGCTGATTTTTTTCTTTTTTTTTTTCTTGGTGATTTTTTTTTTTTATAAGTATACTTCAAGGTAGAAAATTGGCAAAGAAGTTTTCTAGGAGGTATATAGTCTGCATAAAGTAGTCCTTACTCACTAGTGCTCAAATTAATATAGTCTGATTGTGTTTCATCATTGTAGATGGCATGAATGTCTTGTTTATAGTTGTGGATGACCTGCGTCCTGTTCTGGGCTGTTACGGAGACAAGCTTGTAAAATCTCCAAACGTTGACCAACTTGCATCTCAAAGTGCTGTGTTCAGCAATGCATATGCACAGGTAAGATAAGTAACTTAATAAAAATAGTTCTCTTTCCGCAAAATACTTCCTGGTTTCATCACAGCAAGTGTTGGGAAGAGCTTTGAAAAGTATTTATTAATCTTTAGAGTAACTCCAGTAGCAAAGGAGTGGTTAGTCTAAACTGCAGTGTTTGTACTCATCTTTGCTAAAGTGAGAAGAATGAAAAAAGGTCACGTGGATACCAATATTTGTATAACCCTTGGAGTAGCATATCGCCCAAACTTTTTCACTGTTGACAGCAAAATCTGCTTAAGGATGCTGTTTCGCCAAATTGTAATTCTTTTCTTTCAATCCCAACAGTGTTGTTATGAAAGATTACTTTTACTTTTTGTTCTGTTCTTGTAAGGAATCTATTGTCATCTATTTAATAGACCAGAACTTGCATTTAAGAATGATGCTTACTATACAGGACTCAAAATATCACTAAATATCACTGTTCTTTACTTAGATACTTTGCATAGGATGCCTCCCTTCCCGGGCTTGTATCTGCTGAGAAGTTAGAAGCTTGGACCTAATTCTGACTGGGAATTAGGATTTGGCTCTTGCCACTGTGACACAGAACTGGTGAGGCCCTTGGACTGCAACCTGGACCTCCCATATGTTTGTCCTTTTCATTATTCTTAAGGTAGCCCTGATCAGCTAGACCTTGGGCTTTTGTCAGCACAGTCCATCTGCTGCTCTGCTTAGCTCTGTATGAGTGTAAGCTACTAGTTTTCAAAAGCGTTATCTTTAGCACGACTTAATTTTTGTTATTAGCTGCATGATCAAAGCTCTTTGTCCGTGCTTAGGAATTGATTATTTGAGATAAAGTATAACTAGGTAAATGTGTATTCTGGTTAAAAAAAAAACCAAAAAAAACGTGTAGCTGGGGATTGATATTCATAATAATGATGCTGTTCATCCTAGCTTGAAGTGACATGAAATATTTTCACAGGTCCTTGAGCCTTTGAGTGTTTTGCTCAGCAACACCTGAGTTGCTGTGTTACAGTTCATATGGATATATTGGTTTTTGTTCAGCACTGATTCTCCTTCTAACTGGCTCTCTCCTCAGCAAGCTGTCTGTGCTCCGAGTAGAGTATCATTTCTTACTGGACGCAGACCTGATACTACCCGACTGTACGATTTCTATTCCTACTGGAGAGTGCATGCAGGAAACTATTCCACAATGCCTCAGTATTTCAAGGAGAATGGCTACGTGACCCTGTCCGTGGGGAAAGTTTTTCATCCCGGTATCGTTTGAGTTGTTGTGTACTTAACGTAGACACTATGTATTCTCACAAACAGACTTAACGAATGAGTATGAACTATGTAATTCTTAGCTGTATGTATGAGACAACCTGAATCATTATCAGGAGCCAGATTATACAATAGTTGTAGGTTGTCTTTAAATCTTAAAACGTTAGAGAGGTGAATATATTAGGTGACTCTTATCTAATAAAAGTTTTCACATACTATCTGGATTTTGTGAGCATAAATGTCTGCCATACTCAGACATGTCTGGAAGTTGGCTATCTGTCAAAGATGAAATTATTGAACAGTCTCATTGTGTCACTCTTTGTTTGGCATATACACATGCTTGATGTTTCACAGCAGGCTATCTGTCTCAGTCAGGAGACATTGAATGTATGGCTAATACTACTAATTAAACTAGGAAATTAGTTCACTATTTAAAAAAAAAAAAAAAACCCCGGGGTTGAAAAATACCGTTATACTCATATGACCCTTTTCTGGTAATTCTTTACCTCCGGAATGGAGCTTGGGTGGACATGTAGACTTTCAATTGATAGTAAATCTAATTAGGTACATACATGAAAACTGTTACTAATCCTGGTTGTTTTGTTCCCTGAAATAAGGTTACTCAAGAGTTTGAGTCTCCTTTTCCCCAGTATCAGATTTATGTCAGGGACAATTGCTTGTCTTAAACTTTTTGACTTTTATTTCTTAAATATTCTTTCTTTGTTGGCTGAATTGTGAAAAACATTTGAAATGCTTCTGCAATTGGAGTACTTAAAAAAAAAAAAAAAGTAAAAACAAGTTAAATTTGCATTTGAGTTCTTGCTGGTTTAGTGAACTATTGGTGTGTTTCTGATGCCTTTACTCTTTACCCTTTTCAGGAATTTCATCCAATTACAGTGATGACTACCCCTACAGCTGGTCCATTCCACCCTTTCATCCTTCTACTGAAAAGTATGAAAATGATAAGGTAAGGACAGTTTGTGGGACCCTAATGAGGAAGGGTTTTCTGGATATAATGAAGGTCTTTGTTTCAAGCGCCAGCCTATATTCTGTGGTTTTTTTTGAAATTATAACATAGTGCAGGGAAACCACTCATTGCTGATTTTAACAACAACAGTATTTGTATCAGCAACATACTTTTCTTTGTCTGTTTAGCATCTGTCCCAAAGACCCTGCTGAGGCCACATTTTCTTGGCAACTATTTAGTGTAATTCATCTTTCTCCACTGGTTATACATCAGATAGGCATTTGCCCAGAAACTAATGAGCCAGTAGTAGCTTCCAGGTAGCTTTCTATGAGCTCTTGGGGTCAGGAGGAGAAATAATGCATATATGTACTGTAACCAAATTTTAACTTCTTGCCAATAGGTCAGAGATCCTATTCATTTTGGAGGTGTATTTTCCTGTATGACTGCTTCTCAGTTTCTGGCCAGCTTTAGAGAGAGGATTCTGCTTTTCTTTACACACAGAAGTTGCCATGTATTCAGTGTGTTCTTCAGCCCCTGGAGCTGTCTGCCTTAGACATCAACTTGCATGGCACCTTTAGTTTTCCTAGAAGTTGAGAATTTCGTTATTATATCCAATCCACAGAGTTTGTTGGGCTCAGAAATGAATTAAAGTTATGGAAGAGAGAATTATTTCCTTACTTTTACAGAAAGTAAGTTGCTTAAATAATTCTTTTTTAAAGACTTGTAGAGGAAAGGATGGAAAACTTCATGCTAACTTGGTGTGTCCGGTGAACGTGACAGAAATGCCCAGTGGTACTTTGCCTGATATTCAAAGCACTGAAGAGGCCATACGCTTACTGAAGGCTATGAAAACCAAGAAGCAAAAATTCTTCCTGGCTGTTGGTTACCACAAACCACACATTCCCCTGCGGTACCCACAGGTAAGGAACCTTGCACCTATGGGGAAAGAGACTTAGACAAGTGTTATTTTTTCTTTTCAAAGCTGCTTCCAGAGATGCTTTGTTGTTACCGTTTCTGAAAAGCAAGCTGAAAACCAAACTGAAAAACAGCCTTGATTCAATGTAATTGTAGCAACAGTCTCTGTTACATTTAAAAATAATTAGAAAGAGAGTTGTGACTAGTCGAACAGAAAGCAGACTACTACTACCATAATAGTGTGACTGCTGTTGCGTGGAGATGCTGTTCAGCTTGATGGAGTGTGACATAATGAGGCCTTAGAAGATCTTGTTCTTCCTTCACTATTTGAGTCAGTTGCAAAACTCCTCCTGCTTTCAGAGGAAGCGCTGTTGGACCTTTTATTTTAATATAGCTTCTCAATACATGATTTCAGTCTTTGATTTACTGCTGACTATACAGGAGGCTGTTTTCATGTACAGTATCACTTACTAACTTAGTATTTTTCAGAAATTGGCTGGGGCAGACTAACATAACATTCCCCCCAAGTGTTAAAGGTAGCAAAGTCTTGTAATTGGTAAGAAAATTGGAGGGTCACGAGAGGAAGAACGGTTGCTGCTTTACAATACAAAGTTTGCAATAGGGGCATTAGGCGTGAGGTCAGCATGCGTGTTTGTGTGTTCGTTGTGTTTGTGTTGTAAAGGAATTTCTGAAACTGTACCCCTTGGAAGACATCACATTAGCCCCAGATCCCTGGGTGCCTGAGAAGCTGCCTTCTGTGGCATACAACCCCTGGATGGATATCAGACAGAGGGATGATGTGAAGGCATTAAATGTTAGTTTCCCTTATGGACCACTTCCAGAGGACTTCCAGGTAAGCAGTCACTTCAGCGCACTGAAGTCAAACTACCCTAAACTGTTGAAACACGAAGGAGCAGTTGGCTGCTTCTAGATGTTCCAGGGTACTCAGCACCTGACAGTTTGCAAAAACTCAATTCTCCACCTTTCATTGCTGTTGCCCCTAACTTTGTAGGCAAACCACCTCTGTAATTGTGTTGTGTAGCTACTCAGGCTAGTAGCAAGGGGGCAAAGAGGTGAGCCTTCAACTAATGATGATAGGGTGTGCTGTTGGTTATTTCTGGTTTTCCACCATCACTGTTGAAGGGTGTGTGTTCCTATGTAAGGGAGTGTACGCATCAGTTACCAACATCCCATCAGTTTTCATTAGCTAGATCTGTTTCAAGCCACCATTTAGTATATCTTCTTTTTGCAATATTCTGCTTGACTCCCAAGCGCTTATTATGTGGCTGGACTCTGAGAGAAGGGGAATTGATTGATTTGCCACATCTTCCTTGAAAGAACTTTTGAGAAACAGTAAGAATTTTCTAACTGCCCCCTTCTGGGTTTACCTCTTCAGCTAGGACATTAATCAGGCTGCAGACACTTGAAAATAAAGCTTTGTAAGGAAAATCCTTCAGTCTCTTTATTTACAGGAGGAGCAGTGGGTTGCTTTGTGGAGAAGAGACTCTCTCTTTTTTTTATCTTCTTCTTTTTTTTTTTAATGAATTGCAGCGGCAGATTCGCCAGAGCTATTATGCAGCAGTTTCTTACCTGGATATGCAAGTTGGCCTGCTCTTGAATGCTTTGGATGATGTAGGACTCTCAAACAGCACAATGGTAGTTTTTACTGCTGATCACGGTAAGCAACTAAATTTTTCTCCAGCTCGGTGTAAATAACTTTTTAATTGTACAACTTGATGCTGGCATATTACTCACGTGTATGTTTACATAACTTGCAGCACTGCAACCATACCTCGTATATCTGGCTAGTCAGTCTCTAATTAATGGACTCTGACACAGGCTTCTGTGGCTGAGGAGTTCTGTTTCCCTGCAGGCACCTCTCTCCCTAATGAGGTGGAGGGTTTGCAAGTGAGTGATGAGGCTGTCTGTCAGGATACTGGGCTGAGCTTGCTGTATTCCCACCTCCTACCCCAAGGAGCGACTCCTGCTGGGAAGAGTGCTGCTAAAGGATAGCTCCCCCATTGCAATTTGTAGAGAGCCATCTGGTACAGCGGGTGACAGGCTTTCTCATTAACTGCTGAAGCGTGTGTTCTTGCACTTGTCGTTGCTGTTTGCAGAGCATCTAAACTGATAGCAGTATGACTTCTCTTCTTGTAGTTGGTGTCTTACACAATCTGGATCTTGGTGGTAAAAATCCTGTTTGAATTTGAATTATGGAACAAATACTTCAAGCAGTTAACTATTTGTTTCAATACTCTAGCTTTCATTAAAATAACCCTCCCGTGGGTCCCCTCAGTTGGGGGATTTTTTAGCTGACTTAGAACAGTTTGGAATCATCTACAACAGAGCCACTGAGGAAAACTAATCTGGATTTGTTTTCTAGAGGATCCTTGATTTGGGTCACTTTCAAGATGAAACGATGTAAATCGAATTAAGAATGCTCAATTCTGAATGATAGAATCTAGACTGGGTTTAACGTGACTTAACTAACCCACTTAAAGGTACATATTTAGTCAATTTGGGCTGACTTTTGTGAGTGAGTGTGTGTAAACAAGCCTTCAGTGAGTTGTAGAGTAATCGGATTAATACTTTTGGTACGAAGATTACTCTAGATACTCTGTCTTACTTGCCACTATGACTTGGGTTTTTTCCTTTCCTTTGTAGACTGAATTCCTTTTCTTTTCCTTGCCTTGTTTAATTGTAAATCATTGGTGTTTCCAGTACCATGGCTAGCAAAGTGATTCCATAGAAATCTAGCTCAAAAGATCATGCATCAGCATAGCTCTTAGAGAGCTCCTTTATCTTCCCCCAAGTGAAGCTGGCAATAAACGTGCCCGGAAGGACGTCAAATTGGCGTCTCATCTAAGACGAAGAGGAGAAGCTAAAGCGTTTTGATCTCCCTTTTCCTTCCTCAGGGATATAGCGTCCTGATAGGACAGTCTGGCACAGACAGCAGCCTTGGCTCCAAGGGATGCTCAGTTATAACATAACAGCGGTACTGGAGAGCTAGCAGCTGCGTGTAGCTTAAATGAGTGCTTTGTGGAATTGATCTTGAGACTTTTGCAGGCACAGTGACACACCCTGATTCCTCTTTTATGCTGCTTTAATACTGACTTCCTAACTCTTATCTAGACTAGGGGAAATAGGGAAAGGTGTAATTGTTCCCTTATTATAAGGGTAGCACGTGGCAAGATTCAGGTGGTTTGCTGAAAGAATTTTCACATTAGAGAAATATCTTCTTGCGTTTAAACACAGATTGTTACTTGTCGGTTAGTACAACCGTGACAATAGAATAGTGGCCTCAACAGCCAGAGTCACTTTTGCTGTGAGAAAGGAATGACAACTAAGTTACAATCCAGTATCTAAATTATGCTTTCTGTCATATAGGATGGTCCCTGGGAGAACATGGTGAATGGGCAAAGTACAGCAATTTTGATGTTGCTACCCGTGTGCCGCTAATGTTTTACGTACCCGGAATGACATCTTCCTCTGCTAGCCAAGGAGAGAGAGCCTTCCCCTACCGTGACCCCTTTAGCCGTGTTTCAGGCTTGGTACTTCAAGGTAAATTTCCAGCATTTATTGTTCGTATTTACAGTGGATATACGTAAAGAAGTGGTGACTCAGTCATGCTTCACATGCAAGCACATACAACAGTACAGGTTTGATTCCCAGGTAATAAAAGCCAAATCTGGCTTCTGGAAGAGGTTCCCTCTAAGAGGGTTTAAACATTCCTGATCTTTTATCAGTTGGAAGCTGATTCAGATATTCAGATGGTCTCTTAAGATCCTTTCCAGCCATACGTTTCTGTGATTTAAATGGAATGACTTCTCTTGCTTAGCCTGCATGTCAACAAACTTGAGTTGTTTTAGGAGCAGAACTGCCAGACTTTTTTCCTGTTGAGGATATAGTGCTAGAGCTTAGGGCAGGACAGTGCAGCCGTGAAAGAGTTTGTAAAGGTTTTTTAATGTCTAGTTAAGAACAAAAGGGCATTCTGATCCTTCTCTCCTGGGCTAGAGAGCTTGGTGCAAAAGGCAGACTTTAGTATGCCTGAAGTTCTATGTGTGGATATCATTTTTCTCTATACAAAGTAAGATATGACAGCATTGCTATTTAAGTGCAGGGCTGTGAGAGCAGGAAGAATCATTGGTGAAATATATTTGTGCTTTAGGCCTAAATAAAGATTGCATCTAACTCGGACAATTCTTGACTCAGTGTTATTGACTGCTTTTGTACTGATAAGGAACACGATGGTGAAGGTGTGTTACATCTCTGAACACAAAGTTTTGCTTTGGTTAGATCTGCTTTAGTGGAAACAGCTAGATGTCTGCATTAACACAGAGGTCTCTCTCTGCAGGAGATTTATTTTTGTGTTGCTTAGATGCCTAAAAGGATACTTGACCTACCTTTTATAATGGCTGTAGCAGTTTTTCCAACGGTGATTAGTAAACAGTGTCTGTGTAGCGTCTGCACCTAAAATGGTGCTTTGATGGAGGTACCCTTGTGTTAAATGGTAGACACTGAAATTTCCTTTGTCTTTCTAAGAGCTCTTTTTCAAAGGAATGAATATCAGTGTCTTGAAGAGTTTGCACATTTGAGAAGTAGAAGTGACAAAATCTCATCTTGTTAAAATGCATAGACTAGCATCCCCAGAGCTAACTGCCACATTAATTACATAGCCTTGTTTTTTTTACCCCGCAAATCCAATGCAAAGCACTTCCAATAAAGCACCAGCTTAATTATCAGAATAAGTTTCTAAAATGTTACATCAGTGTCTGTTGAGCTGTCACGTTCCTTAACGTGTATTTTGATGATGTTTCTTTTAGGGCGAAGCGAAAAAACGGTTGAGCTTGTGTCTCTTTTTTCAACGCTCGCTGAACTTGCTGGCCTGCAAGTTCCTCCTGTGTGCCCAGAGACTTCATTTTCTGTGGTGCTGTGCACTGAGGGGGCAAGCATTGTCCGTTATTTTAATTCCTCTGAAGAGAAGCTGGAGAAAGTAGAGAAGGATGGGTGTGATGACACTTACAGAGGTTATCACGAAGAACCTATTGCTTTCAGCCAATATCCCCGGCCTGCAGACACTCCTCAGTGGAACTCTGACAAACCAAAGCTGAAAGACATCAGAGTCATGGGGTATTCCATGCGTACAGGTGACTACAGGTATACTCTGTGGGTTGGATTTAATCCCAACAACTTTAGTGCCGACTTTGAGGATGTCCATGCAGGAGAGTTGTACATGGTGGAGAGCGATCCACACCAGGATCATAACGTCTATAACAATACCTTACATGGTGGCCTTTTCAAAAAAATTCTTGGCTTCCTGAAGCGCTAGGGTTCAGGAACTTGTTTGGACCCATTCTTGCCAGTAAAGTAACATTTCCTTTTTTGCATAAAGCATTTTTGTTGTATAGAACACACTTGGACTGAAGTAAAATCCTGTTTGTATCAAAACATTAGCTAGTGCTTTTGTCTTGTTACAGCCCTTAGTACACCCAAGTAGTGAAAGTAAAATTACTTCTGCAACTGTGTTTTCACCTGCCAGCAAGCAACGCTTGTGAACAGGCACACAGGGTACGCAGGCCTGTACTGAAATATCTCCATAGTCGTCAGTGCTGTAGTGACTGAAGAAGAAAAACTCATTATCTTTGCTGGAATTTGTGGTATGAAAGGTGGCAAAAGAAAAACTTCTGCATATGGTAGTCTGTGTGGAGAATGTTATGTGTAAGCAAACAGGTCCTATCTGCTTTATTGAGGACATTGGGAGTTTGAGTGGTCAAGGAGACATGTGGTAGCAATGAGGAACTGAGGTGTCTGCCATCATCAGCCTTAGCTCTGACCAGGACTAAAGGGGAAATCTAATGTGTTTCACTAAATTTAACTCTTTTCAAAATAAAAGATTTAATTTGGAGATTCTTGCTCCTGTTCAGACAGAGGAGGGAATCTGAATTTGGAATTTATAGGTATCAAGTGGATGTTTTAGCGAATAACAGTGAATAATGCTGAAGGGTTAAGAGGGCACCAGTGTGCTCTCCTTTTCAGGTTTGCAATGGATGGCGGTAATTTGTGTTATGTATTCTATCAGCCTACTGGATTTCTGCAGTTCTATCTTGATGAATGAGGCTTCCAGAATTTTTTCATTTCTGCCTGAATAGAGAAGGACTTGTTCTGACAATGCCAACTCCTACTGCCTTCCTCACTGAACTGTTCCTCTGATTCTTGCAAAAAGGGAGAGCCAGTCATTACTTGTCTTCCTCAGATAAAGTGACTGCAATTCAAGAGAAGCCACAGACATAACTTTATTTCATTAAAATTCGTATGATGGCCTTATATCTAATTAATGCATAAATACCCACCAGGAGTTTGATTCTCCATTAGAAGACAGCAGTTATTTAGTGACTTAAACTCAATTAGAAAAATATATTTCTTATGAGCTTGTCATTTTCTTTTACTCTGCCCAAGATACTGTGTGTTCTGCAATATTATTATTCCTAATGATAACATACCTTTTTTTCACTAATGCATGTAGAATTAGATCCTCAGCTGATGTGAAATACTGCAGTTCCATGTAGCAGATTCAGTATAGCTATACCAATTTCACACTGGTTGAAGATGTGCTTCATTCAGAATGGTGCCAGGCAAAGATTTGAAGTCTGCAGCTAGAGCTAATTATTTCTCTGA